CTTATTCACACTCCCGCGATACATGGGAGCAATCTTAAGTAGCGAAAAACATGGACTACGTGTACGGCGTGTATTTCAACAGTGACGGGACAAAGCTAGACGATAAAAGTTTTGATATGGATATTGACGATAATATAATCATTGGCGGTGTAAAGTACACGGGAATACCTGGTCTATACGAACTAATTTTCAAGATAATTCCCGACGATGCCGTCTACACCGAGGCCGATAAACAAAAATACAAAAGTATACTACTGGCGACGAATGCTCACAGGCGCAATCACAACGCACTACAACTCGTATTAAATAACAGGGGGTGCAAATGTGAAAACATAATCGCCCTCTTAATGATTGGTACCTCGATCATCATAGCGGACAAAGGTTTAACCACATCGTACCATAATACTGAACAACAATGCGATCGACTACATTCATTTGGATGATCCCAACAAGCTGGTGAATCGTCTGCGATTGCTAGAAATCTCCCGAAAAGCTGGAAATAATGCTCACGACAATAAAATTCTATCCATTATCGAGGAACTTCGCGAGGCAGATCTTGTTATAAATTAAATCGCATATCGATGATATGCGTTCTTCGCATCGAAATATTGATCAAGAAATTTGGTGTATCGTTTCAAAAGATAGGACCGCCGACGATCGACTATTACACGTGGAGGGAAGTACCCACAAATTACGTATGTGATACTCTGTGCATGGTCGCTTCCAACTTCGATGCGAGATCGCGTAAGATATGATGTGTAGCGCAACCGGAAGTCGACAATGACGCAGTCAATAAACTACGTGGAAAGAAGTCTCGCTTTATATTCAGAGAGAAACAACAAGAATTTGAAAAGAATTTGAGGAATTTGAGAAAAACTGATCAGGCTTTATGCTGAAACACGTGCTGAAACACTGTGCGTAATCGTCGAAAGATATCGTTCGCGCTATGATATTACTCTTGACACTTTTGGCCTTTTTCGGGCCATGTGGGAGAAAGTATTTCCAGCGCATGAGCGCGAATAGATGGAATTTAAAATGATGCGCTCACAGTTTCGTCATTCGTGATGAGGCGATCTCAACCATCAAACATGCGGAAAACCGATGGAAAGGGAAAACACACCCCCGAAAAGCAACGATTGGTGGAGGAGTTATACGCTCCTGCAAGAGGGTATTTTCCTTGTAGACGCTTTCATAACCGAGTACGTCATTATGCGCGGATATGATGATCTGTGGCAGGCCGATATAGTGGAGATACGTCCGTATTCGCGACTCAACGGTGGCTACTACTACATACTCACATTTATCGATGTGTTGAGCAAACACACTTGGGTCGCTCCTCTCAATACTAAGAGCGGAAAGGAAGTAATCGAGGCGATCAGTAAGATAATTCGAGACAGCGAAAAATTCAACAAATTTGCAAACCGACCAAGGAAACGAATTTTACAATAGCAATGTGCGGAGACTCGCGAAGAAACACAGTATCAATTATTATTTGACGTACTCGGTTATGAAAGCTTCCGTTATGGAATGATTCAATCGTAAATTAAAAAATGACATGTGGAAACTGTTTACACTATAAGGAGCCTACGGATGGATCGACTCGCTAACGTGTCTTGTGTCGCAATACAACGGGAACAAGCATCGAACTATCAGTATGCGTCCTGTCGATGTGACCTCCACGATCGCTAAAAAACTTCTAAGTACGGTCTACAGCAACGTAAAGATTGCAGTTCCGGCGAAATTCAAGGTAGACGACCCGGTACGCGTAAGCAAGTTCAAGACTGTCTTTGCTAAAGTTTACACACTCAATTAGACCACCAAAGTGTTTAGGATCGTCAAAATGCAGGCGGCCAATATTGTCACCTATCTGCTCGAGGATTCTCGCGGACAGCCTGTAGTTGGAGGTTTCTACGAGGACGAACTGCATCGCGTTGCCAATCTAAACGTGTACTTGGTGGAAAAAGTATTGCGCAGAAAAGGCGATAAGGTTTATGTGAAATGGCTGGGATTCGATATCTCGAATTATGTAACTCGTGGTTACACAAGGATAATATATTGTAAAAATAAGTGTTTATTATAATGTTTACTACATCTTATTATATGTAATATATAAAATATATGTTTTACAGATATGTAAAATATACGACTTATATTCTATTTACAATAGTATTAATGTCCTTATGGTAATGTATCAGTCGAATCGTACGATATACCGCTCGTCGTCGTGTGGATTCAGAGCGATTTTTATTTCGGACACTGTGTACACTTCGTCCAATTTTAATCTTATGCATGATTGACGGCGAGTCGTTTTGATTTCCTCTCTTAAACACTGTGCGTAATCGTCGAAAGATATCGTTCGCGCTACGACATTACTTTTTACACCTTTCGCCTCTTTCGTGTCCTTCTTGCCGTCCAGTCCTCTCAACGTGTACATCTTTGCCCTAAGTCCGATAAATCAGTCATAATCGCTCCATTGTTTTCGTCTTTCATCAAGTCCGGAACTTTCTTATTTACAAGCGGTATACCGTACGCGTTGTCAGCAGGATAATCGTTCGTATAAAATCTTGCAATATCACGTTTCACGTGCTCATATACATCATCGCATTCGATGTTGTAAATGAGACTGTCGGTGTCAGTGTAGATTATTTTACATTTGTCGCGATACAGAGGATATATGTATTCGTGAAGAAATTCATACAAACAAACCTTTGATATGTCGAGTATGTACATACCTACGTAGACTGGCTTGTTGAATTTCACCTCGAGTTTGCGCAATTCAATAGCGATTAATCGTATCTACAGTCCCAATGTATTACTCGTTTTACATCGACATGATTTCGAACGTTTTCCATCGTTTTGCTATTGATCATCAATTTGTACAAATTTTTCTCAAAATAAATAGTTGCGCGTGTTTTAATTGTTTGTTGAGTTAAATATAATTGCGGAGCCAGGGAGATTGAGCGAATTGGAGCACGCGGTGAATTTTTGTAATAAGAAAACCGTGGCGCGTGCACTGCTGCAGGTTGCGGTAGTGGATAACGCTGCTTATCGTATAGCGTCGCGAGAAGTTTCTCCTGACATTTGCCGGGTGGCTTCTCGCGCGTTGGACAAAACGGTAGGTCAGTGTGCATATCGTGCAGATTTTGCGGATACTCTAAGTTGATCTCGAGGATATAGCCTGTGGGCGAATCGATAGCGATTGCTAATACGTCAAAGTTTGTCGATTAATCGAAACTCGGCGTAAGGTAATGATTGACACATTGCCCAACCGTACAGATTGTTTACATCAAAGTACAAGTACGACGACGACTTCGATAGGTCGTAAGACTGCATGTATTTGTTATTGATGTGTGCGTATCTGTCCGAACATTGACTCAGGCCACCGCGTATACCGCGTTCGATGAACATGACCATATCAATATCGGTGAGCAGTTCGAAATTTACGTTTGCTTCAACCCGTATGCTTCAACATTGCATTCCACGTAAATCCTGATATAATATAATAATGTGCGGGATCGAGTCCGTAACTTGCGATGCAGTTGTCACGGGAATTTTTAAAAATATCTGCCAATAACAAGACATCAGTCTTTAAATACATGTCGCTCAAGTTTCGAAAGGAGAACCGCTTCTAAATCTCCTCGTCCAGATTTACGCATGCGCGTAATCGCTCTCGGATACTGTATCGCCAGTCAATGAACTGTGAAAGAATTCTCGCGGCGGTAAACATGGATCCTGCAGCTTGTCCGCGCAATCCACGTATTCGTACGGAAAGACACTCTTTTGCGTCAATAAATCAAATTCTTCGACGGATAATTTTGGAAATTTCGACTATACAATTTTTAGTTTATTTTTAGTGAAGAAGGATGCCAGTAGTATATGTACAGCTTCCGTGAGACAGGGCCTATTTTTTCGGTGGTGGGGGTAAAAGCTGGCGCCGGTGTGTCAGGGGTGGGGGAAGGGAGACCAGGGGGGTTAGATTGGGGTGAGTCGAGAGTGGAAGGGGGTCCCAAAATGGAATGGTGGGAGAATTTTGCAGGTATGGTTTGCAGGTGGAGGGGGATAAAATGTGGAATAAAAATTATTAATATTGGGAGTGGGGGCGGTCGATGTGTCGCCCTCACTATAAATCGGGTAGGATTATTCAGAGTGATTTTTATGTATATTATTTTATTTCTTTTTATTGCATCGTTTCTTACGACTTCGTCTCTTGCGGCATGAGCGTTGTCTGGAAGTTCCGAGTCTCGACTGATGAGTGAGTCGAGAAGGAGTAGGTGACGATGGAGGAGCTAGGGGTAGGGGGTAGTCGTCGGTTGCTGACGTATAAGGGTGAGGGAAATTTATGCTATTGGTTCGTTTACTGGTCAGCTATGGATATTCACGGGGATTGGTTTTAACCTGAGGGTCTCCCCCGCCTCGTCGCCTACGTCGAGAATAAGTGAATGCTAGGTATGACCTGGAAAATTTAGGCGAGAAGGGCCTTACTGAACGTTAGACGAAGGTGGGGAGCTAGTGGGAGAGGGTAGTCGTCATATGTCTCGGCGTGAGGAGTAAGGAAGATCTATTGGTTCGTCTAGTGGTCAGCTACGGTTATTCGCAGGGATTGGTTCTTTTCCGCAGCGCTCCCCGCATCGACGCTTACGTCGAGAAGAGTTGAGAGGTGGGAGACGTTACCGGAAAATTATGACGAAAAGATGTTTCCTGAAAGTTAGAAGAGCAAGAGAGAGAAATAGAGAGAGAGCCGAGAGCAGGTCTGGACAGCTGTGGGTATGCGGTTTTTGCTCTCGGCTCCTTTGATTCTTACGTTGAACCGTGGGGAGGGGGGGG